ACATACTAGTTTGCCTTGACATATCTTTAGTACATATCTCACAACATAACAATTCATAAATATAATACTCAAATAATCATGCGTGACCATGGAAGAGCCTCGTGGTCCTCTGCTTTCTTTTTTCCGCTTTCTTCTATGCTGAAAGTTTTAATTGAGCACAGAGATCAACCCCTTTCTCCAACTCCTTTCGAGTTAAGTACAGTCATATGACTACAGTGTAATGACTAGAACGCAAACAAAGTGGCTTACCCTAAAGACCACCAGGTATCTGTGCCCTCACCTGCTGGTTGGGAAACAGTGGCAGCTGGAAGAGAAACCCTAGATGCTGGCATGGAAAGGCCATATTGAGAATGGCAGGGCCGCCCTGCCAACCCCAGACTGTTGGCCTCTACGCTGTTCTGTGAGAGAGAAAACTCACTCTCACCACCATCAAGTCGATGCCGACTCCTAGCAACCTACAGGACAGGGTACAAGTGCCCCTGCGGGTTTCACAGACAAGAACTCTTTACGGGAGTAGAAAGCATCATCATTATGAGGAGTGGCTGGTGGTTTCGAACTTCGGACATTTCAGTTAGCAGCCCAATGTATAACACTATGCCACCAGCGCTCACTGCGAGAGCGAGGGACAGGTTTATCTTATATATCTTTGTTACACTGACCCAGCCTGTATGCCACCTAATGTAATAAATGATCTTTGTTGAGTACTAACTAGATGTCAAGAAATCATTTACTTAGATTGTACCATTACTCCTAACAACTCTATGAGGCTAGAAAACTTGGCCAGATTACAATGACAGTACAATGGAAAGTGTGATAGTCTTTGTGTTTGTTTGTTTGTTTGTTTGTTTGTTTGTTTTAAAGGATGTGCGATAACACTAAAAAAGTCTATTTTCTTTAGGTTGGAAACTATGAAGAAAAATCATGGAAAACGTACTTTATGTAAAACATAGTCATTCATTGAATGAATACAAACAGATTGAAGTTGCCAAGGATTTTTTCTTGCTTGCATCCACAATCGATGCTCTTGGAAGCAGCGGTCAAGAGGCCAAAAGATGAGTTGCATTAGGTGCATGTGTTGCACAAGACCTCTTTAGAGTATTAAAAAGCAAGGATGTTACTTTGGGGACTCAAGTGTGCCTGAGCCGAGCTAACCTATTTTCCATTGCTTCAGGTGAGTGTGAAAGTGGGACCCTGAACAAAGAAGAGCAAGCAGGGTTTGAACTGTGCTGGAGAAGAACACAGAAAGTGCCATGGTCTGCGAAAGGACAACCAGTGTGTCTTGGAAGAAATCCAGCCAGAGTGCTTCTTCAAGACCAGGATGACGGCACTTCATCGTAGATACTTTGGGAATGCTCTCAAGAGAGACCAGTCCTTGGAGAAGGGCATATTGTTTTAAAAGAGTAACAGATGGTCTGTTTTGCAGTTGACCCCAAGCATTGTTCTAACTGAGATTTAGAGCGTCTCCATTGTCTCTTCCCAGCAATGCAGTCAATTTGATACTAGTATATTCCTTCCAGAAGATCCATTTGTGTTGTCATTTATGTTGCTGAGGAAATTTATTTGCAATGAGTTCATTGTTGGTATTACCAAATTCTATTGTCTGATCTTCATCACATTTTCAACCACCAAAGTTGTTTCCCTGCTACCAGTCCTCCTTTCATTTTCAAACTTCCATATTCTTTTTTTTAATAATTAAATCATTTTATTAGGGGCTTGTACAACTCTTATCACAATCCATACATATTTCCATATTCTAATCATTCATAATTATCAATGCATCTCAGCTGCATGCTTGATCGATTTCAAACTGTAGACACTGGTAAAATCATCAATGTCTTCATTGTTAGCATTAACTGGTAGATAATTTTGAATAACAGTCATATTAGTTGGCCTTCTTCATAAGCACACGGATACTATACCATCACTGGCAGCAGAATACTTTAGGGTAGATCTTGAGATGCTCTTTGTTGCTGACAGATGTGACATTATTTCTCATCCATCTGTATTTATCAGGGGAGTGGACTACATGTTTGTCCAACTTAAAATGGCCAATACCAGTCCATTTCAGTTCACACCTGACTAGGATATCGATCTTTGTGCATTCAATTTCATTTGACAATTTCTAATTTTCTAACATTCCATATCCTGATTACTTATAGAGGTATACAGCTCCTTCATATCATTTTGGGTCATGCTACATAAACAAATGAAGACTGCCAAAGCTTGGCATCATCCATATCATGAAGGTCAACTACACTTTGAGGAAAGATTTTGATCTCGCAAAGCATTAGGCAATGTTCCATTGCGATTCATAAATTTTCCACTGGTAACTTTTCAGAAATAGACCACCATAGCACCCATTCCAGTCTTTCTTGCTCAGGAAACCACTGACACCTCCACCAAGATTGCCTGCTGGTACAGTGGAACGTCAGAGGCATAACTTGTGGCATCACAAAAGCATCCACAGCAGCCCAGTATGACAAGCTGGCAGGTGAGTGATGGCAACTGGCAGGTAACCTTCGCAAAATTCTCTCCTTTACAACAATTTAAGTATTAAATATAATGCTTACTATTCACCAACCTTCACTGGTCTAATTCTATACAATGCCATAAAGTTGCATATATGTTATGTTAGATAGGCTGCCTCATTTTATTCTGGGCCTTAAAGTTAGAAGACTGGCCCCAAATCTGAATTTCTATGGGAGTCACTGAAGTTTCTCTGTTTAGTTAAATTCTGGTCTTCATGTTTTTTACAAATTCCCCGACTTCAGCTGATAGCTAACTCTTAACCCTGAGTTCCTCTGTCAATTCTACTTGAGTTCTCATGATGCCAAAGAAATATACTCCCTTTGGCTCTTCCATAGATTTTTTTCCCCCTAAACCAAAGGGATGAAGCTTATGGAACAATTTTTCTACGTAAAATGATACTTCACTTGACCGAATAGCATATACTGTACTTTTTAAATATGCCTTTTTTCTGTCACCATAATTAGGTATGGACCTCATAAATAGAAAATTATACTTTTTATGATTTTTTGAGTTCCATTTTGTTGCCCAATGTCAGAAAGCATTTTTAAATTCATCAACATTTGCACAATTCTTAATAATGTGTATTTTATAGCACATAAAGGAAAGAATAAGGAAAATGTTTTAAGAGAGACGTTTCACTTAACAATTCACTGCAAATACTGATTCGTCAAGAGAAGGTTTACATATTCAACACAGTGTAACACTGAGGTCAGAAACGCAAAGTTTAGGAGCTCAAGAAATGAAGGATGCAGCTCCCAAGAGCAACTCATTTTTCATCTCAATCTGTCAATAAAAATTGCCATATAAATTCCAGGTGAATCTGGAATTCCTCATTTCTTTCCTTTACTTCATTGTGGTGGAATAAAAGTTTCTGTCTTTATTTAAATCATATTTTTTAAATTTTAAGAGATTTTCTGTAGTGTCCGTAATTTCCACCAAAGCCCATTTGTCATTCTATCCATTCCACATTGTAATGTATTTTTTACATAATTTCAGATCCCAAGAATTGTCTTACAATAGGATTCAGGTAGCTGTACACACTCAGTGTAGAATTTTGCTTCTGGGATCCGTGTGCATCCAGTGGGGTAGGATTTTGACCAGAGAGTGCATGCTCAGAGGCGGACGGCTGCATTTCTTAGCAGTGCCGTAAGTGCTGGGCCATAGTGTGTGCTCAATAAATGTCAGACAGAAATAAATGGGATGACTGTAATGCACCTTTCCTCTCCTCAGATAGGAAGAGCTTTGAAAAGTTCATGTAAATTTTAAATGCAAAGATCATGGAATTTTCCCAACTAATTTTAAACCCTATTTGAAGCTCTTATCCATGACGACTTGCTTTTGTTTTTCTTAATGTAGGTTTAAAACCTGTATCTTTCTTAATTAGTTGTTAATTAAGGTTTCTTTATGAATGCTTATTCAAATTCCATTTTTGTGCAGAGAAAAAAATCATACATAGTATCCATGTGATAAAACTTCATATATCTTAGTACCTTCACACCATTTCACCTCAATGACCCAACATATTGTTTTTTGCCAAACAATGGCTTCAGTAAGGTAACTTGGACAGAAGTTACATTGAAATGGAAATAGGGAGGCTCAAAAGCAGTGGTCCTCAATCTGAGGGCTGCGACCCCCTTGAGGGTTGAACGACCCTTTCAAAGGGGTCACCCAATTCACAACAGTAGCAAAATTACAGTTAGGAAGTAGCAACAAAAATAATTTTATGGTTGGGGGGGGGGGTCACCACAACATAAGAAACTGTATTAACGGGTCAAAGCATTAGGAAGGTTGAGAACCACTGTACTAAAGCAATGACATTTCATTCTATAAAGAATCTCACAAGTTATATATGCAAATGCCTCTAAGCAAGGAAAATCATCTCTTTAAGAGGCTATACAAATATTTGCACACTGCTTTCGATTGGGGAGATAATTTTAGAATGATTTCTATAGTTTATTTGCAAAGTAAAAATAAACCTTTCTTTCACAGCGATACTATTTCTTACACCAAACTCTTTTTGATCCATCATAATGACTTTAGTCACCAATCATGACTGTAAACAATTTCAACTATGTTTTAAATAAAATCTACCCACAAGGAAAGAAGATGTGTTCCCACTAAAGATATTAAAACATCGGCCACAGAAGTCACCACTCTGTAGGAGATTCAAAAACATATTCTTAAGAGTGGCAACATGAACTACATGACATCCCGATTTGAATTTTAAGGAAGGCTATGCAACACATGGGCTCATCTTTGTGAGCGCTGAAAGGAAAGTACTGGACGAAGGTCTCACTGATTGTCAGAAATGGCAATCAAAGAAAGAGGCATCATGAGTCTCTCTCAGAACTTTACTTAAAGACCCATGTGTGAAATAATTTCAGATTGGTAATAAACAAACACAGCTTCCTACAAGTCACAACCACACTCAAATTGTAGGAGAAATCCACACATCTCTGTGTTTTACTCACATCAACAAGCTGGCTGACTCCACTTGCTGTCCTGGCCAGTGTGACAAGATCTTCTTGCATCTTGTCCACCCATGACTTGATGCTGCAGGGATCAGAAAACAGAATGTCCTGTCAGACCTTTGACGTACAAAGGCCATGGGCATTAGTCAGAACTGAGACTTTGTGTCGCAGGCGGAAGATTCCCTTTTAAATCTTCCCTTTCTCTCCTATATCCTACTAGGTCCACCTCCCCTCCCCTCCGCAAGCATTAAACTTTAGTGTATCATCCCCTACTATCTGAAATAGTCCCAATCCCCAAAGCAAAAAATGTCACTCATCTTGTCCCACATGACGGTAAAAGGGTGCATAATTTTTACCAATTTTAAGTTACTAAATATAACCTTCTAAACCGCAAAGTGTATCCTTCAGGTTATAAGTCCTCTGAATATAATTTTGAGAGTTTATTAATTTATAATATTTTTAAATGATAAAAAATGAGATGAAAAAGTATTTGTAATTCCATTATTCAGGAATAACCACTCTTGGCATTTTGATGTAGCTTCTTTCCCTGATCTTTTAATGTTCTTTCACATAATCAAAAATAAAAAATTCACATTTCTTTTCTTCTTTTTTTGTATAATAAACAAGTCCCCATGCCTGTAGAAGTATTTTATGTTCATTTATTTTTAATGGCCACTTAATATTCCATTATCTGTAACTTCCAAAATACACATAACCATTCTCCGGTCTTAGGAGGTATTGATGGTATCAGCAGCTTTCAGCCACTACCTATTATTCTGTAACCAACAGTGTAGAAAGCCTAAAAGCGCTTTATCTTCTTAGCTAGTCTCTCAGATTTGAAATTACTGAGTCAAACCTTAAATTGTAAAGCAATGATTCAGAGCATTAAAATTGTGGTTGAAGGACTTAAGTTCAAATCAATTTTTATGTATGTACTTTAGAAGAAAACAATGGACATCTTAAAATATGAGCTATGGATGGCAGCATGTTTCAGAAAAACCTAAATCAATGTTCCATATCTTACTATTTCCTGGCATTACAGGAATTACCAAATACTGCATGCCTTTCCCTCTTTCAATTCAGTATTGTTTGTTGAGTATTCTCTCTGTTATTTGGGGGTTTTTTTTTAACACATGCTGATGTTGCATATCAAAAGTGTATGTTGTTTACTGTCCATTCAAATATATGAAAACACTAGTGAGAAGGCATGAGGCTGAATTAATTTTTTATTTGAACTTGTATGTACATTTCTGTGATATGGACACATCATATTTATCCTATTTTCTTAGGATTGTTATGCTTGAATATTTTTCCTCACTGAGTAGACCACTACCAAGTGTGCTGGTTGAAAAGGAGAGCAAAGTTCGGATTTAGTAAGTGCTTCTTTCATGGAGAGAGCCCTGGTAGCATTGTCAGGTAACCAAAATATCAGCAGTTCAAACCTTCGAGTCACCCTGTGGGAGAAAGGTGAGGCTTTCTGCTGTTCCAAGACTTACAACCTCAGAACTCTATCCTTGAGTCAGAGCCGAAGCAGGGCTGCAGTGCAGGGAGGAAACGCCACTCTCCTCGTCTTTCCTTCCTTCAGCAGATGCTTCTAGGAGATTGCCAGGCCACCAAATATTTCTCAGAGCATATCAAATGTAACACAACAAAACTCGGTGAGATCCCAACTTCAGTGACAGTCACTGTTGTCCTCTTCCCACCGTGTCTCCGCCTCGGCCACTGGGTTTGCATTCAGGAGGTTGCCATTTTTCCCTCTTTGCTCATCTTTCAGGTCTTCCTGAGTTTCCTTAAAACAGTTGAGCCGTCTAAAAATTGCCTTTTTATGGGGAGCAGCATTCCCATAAACAAAGCATCAGTGATTCAGGAAGATCTTCATTTGAGTTTTGTTAAAAGTTTGATATTAGCACTGACCTCAAAATCTTCCTCCTACCCCCATGGGGAAAAAGAAGCTTTCTTTGAAAGGCACAAATGTACTATTGAGAGAAATGGTCTGCAGCCATTCACTGATTGCAAAGAAATGCTCAACCACGTTGTGTTCGGATTACTCATGTATGTACGCACTGGGTCCCTAACAGCAATGCTTTCTGACTTCCCTTGTGTAACATGCAGTGTACACATATTCTCCACTGCAGGGCTTAGTACTTATATAACCATGTACACATTAGACAGTATTAGGTAGTGTATAAGGATATTATAGAAGTAAAATTTTGCTCTAAAAAACACTAACGTAGAATATGTATAAAAATAAAGACCACAGATATGATATTCTAATTCGGACTACAATGCATCATTTTGCCAAGCACTTAGTGAACAATCCTCCCCAGGGAACGGACAACTGAAAATTGGGTGAAGGGAGAAGTCGGACAGGGCAAGATATGACAAAATACTAATTTATAAATTATCAAGGGCTCATGAGGGAGGGGGGAAGGGGAGGGAGGGGGAAAACTGAGGAGCTGATGCCAAGGGCTTAAGTGGAAAGCAAATGTTTTGAGAATGATGAGGGAAACGAATGTACAAATGTGCTTTATACTATTGATGGATTGTGATAAGAGTTGCATGTGCCTCCAATAAAATGATTGGAAAAAAAATAATCCTTTCTCCTAAAACATAATTGTCAATATTGACAAAATAGTAAAAAGCTGTCTGTCCCTCAGGCTGAGAAACTGAGAGACAAAGAATACCTTTGTAAAGAAATGAACCTAACTCATGTTTGAATTCTGATATATGCTAACCTGATCCAAAATTGGCATTCTGCATTGACATCCACCTCACTGTCACTGCCAGTCTCGGGGAGGGGAAACTATTTTGGCTGAAAAGCAGTTCAGGGCCAGGCCAGTCTTCTCTGTCCCACTGACAAGCTGTCAAGAGCACTTTATAAGAGCAAGAATCATTCTTCACAGAGATGAGGTGCCACCTGGTTTTCCGACACACACAGTCACACTCTGCCTTTCAAATGGAGAAATGGGACGAGGTCTTGGGAATAAGCAATGGTCCTATTCAGCGATACATTTTCTCCCCATCATTCGCACGACAAAACCAGTGCGAGAACAATTCATCTTTTAAAAGTGCCCCATTCTTGTAAGTTGTCAGATTTTCAACATGCAAACTTAATAGTCGGTCTCCTCACTTATCAGCATGACTAGGTTCAAAAGATCAGGCTGTAATGTGGAATTAGCATTATATGAAAATGAAGGATGGTAGCATCAGATCACAAAATGGAGGAATAGGGCCCCAGGACATAACTGCCAATTGGGTCACAGACAACCACTGAAAATGATGGCTCAGTCAAGTTCACCCAATAGTAACCATCCCAGTCAACCAGACCCTGGTATTTGGTACTGATAGAAGCATGATGCTAATGTGCAAAATAGATAGTAGATTTTTTACTACTGTAAATAAGATAGTTGATAAATAAGGAGAAGGTATACTTTAAAGAAGTCATTAGATCCCTAGAGTACTTGCTTTGTAATTCCACATGCTCCCATTCAATGTCCTTGAGGAAAAACCTTCTTGCAATCCTTCTTTGACTCCATGGTAATTCAAACAGTGCTGCCCAGCAATATATGCTTCCAACTGGCTGACGTCTGCACGTCAATGTATTTTGGAGAACTCATCAAGAGATTGCTGAAAATCATGCAAATATTTTATTGACTAGCTGGGGTAATCTTATATTTTCTACTCCATTTTATTTTATAGAAAAAGTCCAAATTCCAAAAGTAAGTTGGTATAAAATATGCAAAATTTAACTCACTTCAAAAAAGAATTTATCAGTCTGTTCATTTTTACCCTTTTAAGGTGGACTTGGCCTACAATGCCTTCAAAAGAGGAGTGCATATTTCAAAAATAAACGTTTGTATTTTCAGAGAAAAGAAAGGAAGGACAGTAATGCACTTCATTCGCCTGCACTGAGAACCATCAAACTGAAAACAGCACGAAGGACACTGCGTAGGCTACTGTACCGTGCAATAGCTGAGTGCAAAGTGCCAAGTCTCCACTGTTATCTACATAGTTGTGTTAAGTGCTGAGAGAATTCCCCTCTTTACTGGTTGGAAAAATCGAGTCCGAGTGACAGCTAAGATTTGTCATAAGTATAGTAAAGGGAAAAATAGTTATGAACCCATTCTTATTGGTAAACCTCACTACCACAGACAGAGTCAATGCAGATGCCAAGGGAACCCCTGTGGGTTTCTGAGACAGTAACTGCTTATGGGAGTAAAAAGCGCAGTCTGTCTCCTGGGAGCTGAAGCTTGGTTCGAACTGTCAACCGTGCAGATTGCCCCACTAGGGCAATGTGTAACCACTGCCCCGCCAGGGCTCCTAGGGATGTTATTAAAAGAGACATTGGCCTTCCATCATCTTCTCCATTATCATAGAGGCTTGTGGACGTCTGCAGATGCCACTGGATTGATTTCCATGCATGGTAACCCCCTGGAACAGAGTAGAACTGATTGACAGGTCACACAGCCAGTCACCTTTATGGAAAGGGAGTGCTGGTGGCACAGCAGGGTCGCTATGAGTCAAAATCTGCTCCATGTCCATGAGTTTCATGGCTTTCTTAGATTAAACTTTACGGGAAGAGACTGTTTTTCTCCTACTACTGCTCACTGTCACTGAGTCAATCCCACTGCCAGTGACAGGAGAGCACACAGTCAAACTGCCCGCATGTGCTTCTGAAAGGAAGTCTTCTTTAAGGCAGGAGAGAGCCTCGTCTGTCTCCTGGTAGTTTCAAACTGCTGACCTTGTGGTTAGCAACCCCACGTCACCCACAACGCCATAGGGGATACCTTAAACTGCCAGCTACGCGCTTAACCCTTGCATCAGCAGAGCTTCTTATGAGAGGCTAGATTTTCAGAAAGAAAAGGGAGAGGACGGAGCCTCAGTATACTGTATACAGCCAAGGACTCGGAGGAGATGCAGCAGAACAATGAGAAGGGAGTGTTTCATCCTTTGGAGTCCTTGTCCTCAGAGAGTCATCTGCTTTTCAAAAACATACTCTTATTTTAACCCAAAGGACTAGGACATAGTGATTCTCTGTAGCCATGGGCAAACGTAAGAAAATCAAATGATCTAACAAATTGACCATTTCAGTTATGTTGCCATATCAATAGCTTATTTATAAATCTGAAGAAATAAGATCATATATTTCAAAAGCCAAGTGTTCTACTGACTATAAATAGCCTCCAACGCCAAGCTGCTCCTATTTTTGTTATATAATAAACCTCCCACAGTGTTCCTGTGGTTGAATAAAAATAACATAAGCCAAAGCTTCAGAAAACTTAGGCATGCAATTTCACCAAATACATGTTTCTTATAAATTGATAACTAG